TACCTCAGACCTAAACTGGGCCATTTAGAAATCTTATTCTTCACCCTCTGCTCCAGGTCTGGTCTTCTTTTGCCAGTGTTCCTTTCTCATTAAATGGACCACCATATACTTTGCTTCTTGAGCTAGATGTAAGGTACTAATTCTTGACATTCTTCCTCATCCTGTAAATCTAACCCATCAATTTGAATTAATATTTCTGACATCCAGTCATTTTCCTTCATTTGAATTGCGATCAGCTTAGTCCAAGCTACCATCATGATTCACTTGATCTATTGCCATGGCTTGTTAACTGGCCTCTCTGCTTCCAATTTTGTGTTTCTAATCAGTTCTTCTCATAGTTGTTATAGTGAGTGGTCTTTGCAAGACAACTTAATTTACTGTTGAAAAGCCTCCAGTGGCTTCCCATTGCACGGTAGATAAAACAAAAAAAATATTTACACTGCTTTGCATAGCTGGACATGGTGTGACTTTGGCTCATCTATCCAAATTCATCTCTACCTCATGCCCTCTTTTTTACTTCTCTCCAGCTATGCTAGCTATCTTTAGTTTTCCAAATGTGCCAAGTCTACCCTGCCTTACTGTCTTCTTACTGTTTCCTCTGCCTAGAATGCTTTAGACTCCTCTTTACCTGGCTCACTCCTTCTCATTTTTTAGGATTTGTTAATTGCTGATTTTTCTGAGAGATGTTCCCAGACTATCCAGTCTAAGGTTGCCCTCTGATAATTTCAAGACTTAACAGAGTTCTAAAAGATGTTTTGTATCTTTCTCCCTTACCATAAGATAATGGCCTTAATGGACTTTGTTTTTCCACTGTATATCCAGCATGTAGTTCAGCGCCTGTGCAAGGGAGGTGCTTCATAAACATTGGTTAAATGAAAGATTTGCTTCATCTAAGTAAGAGTTGGCCGAGAGAAGTGTCATTGTGCTTTCTCTTTCTAGTAACAATAGAACCTACATCTAATTCCTGGAATAGCATTAGCAGTTTGCTTCCACATATGGGTCTGTTGTTGTTGATGTTGTTATAGGTGTACATAACGATCTGTTGTTGTTGTTGTTAGGTGCTATCAAGTTGATTCTGACTCATGTGACCTTATGTTCAACAGAATAAAACACTGGCTGGTCCTGCCCTGTCCTAATAATTCTTGGTATACTTGAGCCCATTGTTGCAGCCACTGTGTCAATCCATATCAGTGAGGGTCTTCCCCTTTTTTTCTGACCCTCCACTTTACCAGGCATGATATCTTTCTCCAGGGACTGGTCACTTCTGACCACATGACCTAAGCAGGTGAGACAAAGTCTGGTCATTCTCATTTTAAGGAGCATTCCAGCTGCACTTCTGGCAGTCAATGGTGGGTTTTGTTTTGTTTTTCAGTATTCTTCACGAGCACCACTAAAAATTCAAAGGTATCAATTCTTCTTCGGTCTTCCTTATTCATTGTCCGGTTTTCACATGAATACAAGGCGATTGAAAATACCATGGCCTGGATTAGGGGCACCTTAGTTTTCAAAGGGACATCTTTGTTCTTCAACACTTGAAAGAGGTCTTTTGTGGTAGATTTGCCCAGTGGAGTACAACGTCTGATTTCTTCCCTGATGCTTCCATGAATGCTGATTGTGGATCCAATTAAAATGAAATTTTTGAGAACTTCATTCTTTTCTCAATTTATAATGATGTCTGTTGGTCCAGTTGTGAGGGTTTTTATGTTCTTTATTTTGAGGTGTAATCCATATTGAAGACTGTATTCTTTGGTCTTCTTCAACACGTGCTTCAAGTCCTTTTCACTTTCAGCAGGCAAGGTTGTGTCATCTGCATATTGAAGGTTGTTAATGAGCCTTCTCCAATCTTGATGCCTCATTCTTCTTCATATAGCCCAACTTCTCAGATTATTTGCTCAGCATGCTGATTGAATAAGTATGGTGAAAGGACACAACCGTAACGCATGCCCTTCCTGATTTTAAACCATGCACCATTCCCTTGATCTGTTTGAACAACAGCTTCTTGGTCTATGTAGTACAGATTCCTCATGAGCACAATTCAGTGTTCTGTAATTCCCATTCTTTGCACTGTTATCCATAATTTGTTATGATCCACAGTAAAATAACTTTGCATAGTCAATAAGATACAGGTAAACATCTTTCTGGTTGCTTTCAGCCGAGATCCATCTGACATCAGCAAGGATATGCTTTGTTCTATATCCTTTTCTGAATCCAGCTTGAAGTTCTGGAAATTCCCTTTAAATATACTGCCGCAACCATTTTTTGAATTATCTTCAGCAGAATTTACTTGTGGGTGATATTCATGATATTGTTTGATAACTTCCATATTCTGTTGGATCACCTTTCTTTGGAATGGGCACAAATATTGATCTCTTCTGGTTGGTTGGCCAGGTAGCCATCTTCCAAATTTCCTGGCATAGATGAGTTAATCACCTCCAGAGCTGCATCTGTTTGTTGAAATATTTCAATGGGTACTCATTCCATCAATCCCTGGAGCCTTGTTTTTCACCAATTCCTTCAGGGAAGCTTGGGCTTTCTCCTTCAGTACCATTGGTTCTTGATCATATGCTAACTCCTGAAATGACTGAATGTTGATCAGTTCTTTTTGGTACGGTAACTCTGTGTATTCCTTCCATCTTATTTTGTTGCTTCCTGTATAATTCAATTTTTGTCCATAGAATCCTTCAGTATTGGAATTTGAGGCTTGAGTTTTTTCTTCAGATCTTTCAGCTTGAGAAATGCCAAGCATGTTCTTCATAAGGATCTGATAGAGTACTAACAGAAGGTCTTACATTATTTGTCATTTTGCCTTGTTGCAAAGAAGCTTCAGAGTATGTCCTTGGGAGTCTGACAGACTGTTTAGGTCCTTCTTTTGTTCCTATAAGCTGTGTAACCTTGAACAACTTAGCCAATTTTTTCCAGCTCCTTTTCCCCACATTTAAAGTGGGAGAAATTATATCTAGCTCACATGCTTGTTATGAAGAATGAGATTACATATGTCAAATGCCTAACACAGTGCTTGGCATGCTGTAGGAGCTTAGGCTTTATCTCTCTTTTCCCCTTTGTATTTCAAGATTAACAAGAACTTGGAAAAAAATTTATGCAGCTTATATGTGTTCAGATTTAATGTATAATCTTATCTGGAGTCACGAATATGGGAGTCAAAACCAGTGCAAGAGAAAATGATCCATCTCTAGGGTGCATATAAGCAGGGATGGACTAGTTATTTAACGATTAATAACTTTAGTCTCCCCTCAGAAAGGTACACATGGAATTTGCCTTTGCCTTATCCCAGGGGCTGTTGTTTAACATTGTAAAAACTATGATAATAAATAAATATGACTAGCTAGTTTTTAGTTTAGTTCCAGTAGGTATTCCGTGGAGGCAGGCCATATGAAAACATTTTTCCCGTTTTGGAAGTTTTTGTGGAACAGCCTTGGCAATGCATTGAACACTCTGAAGTCCAAAGCTTTTCAAATTATGTTGTCAGCTTTGAGTTTAATTAAAAAAACTAAATATTCCGAAAACAGGCTATTTTTTCTAAAATCTGATCAATTAGAGACAAATTAGTAAGAGTTATATATGATTAAGGCACACCAATATGGATGCTAGATCAAGTTTAAGGAAAACTGTTTGGATTATATCTGTCAAAATAATCAAATGTTAATTCTCTATCATTAACTAACATAGCTCACTCACTCTTTCTTTTCTTAAATTTATTTTCCTGGGTTACATGAAACTACAGCCTTGCAAAGAGGGACTTGTTTCTCTCTAAGCCTAGACCTTCAGAGAGCTAGGTTATTGAACACTGGAAGTTCATTTGACTCCTTGAATATTGACCCAGGCAAGGAACTGTATTGTTTATTAGGGGTAAATATGATTGAGAGTGTTGTGCCAGAAGGTTGAACTATTTTAAGACACTGATTGTCTGGCTGTTTTATTCAGTTGTTTAAAGCATGGAAACTGTAGGGAGGTCAAGGGAACAGACCTAAGTTCCTTCTGAAACTCTTGCTCTGATGTGTTCTGTGGCCAGAGATTGCCCCTCAGACTTGAGCCATGTATCTCAAAAATGTGTATGATTGTCATTTGAGATGTTAAACTGATGCATGTGAATGTACCTGGGAAAATCCATGACTGATAATCCAGAAGGTGTGTGTACTGATGGAGGTTTTATATGAATACTGGTGTCTAGACATCTTTTAGTTCACAGTCAATTTCTCACTGCGAATCCAACTTTGTAAATAATAGACTGAGAATTGTGGTTGCATGTTCTAGAGGAGTGCTGTCATTTCACAGACTGTTACATTGCCATTGAGTTGATTTCTACTCATAGCAACCGTGTAAGGCCATAGGGTTTCTAAGGCTGTAACCTTGACAGAAGCCATGGCCACATCTTTCTCCTGCAGAGCCTCTGGTGGGTTTGAACTGCTGACCTTTTGGTTAGCAGCTGAGTGCTTAACTACTCTGCCACCAGGGCTCCTTCATCTCACAGAGAGTACAAAAAAAACAGTGACATTATATTTTCAGGGTTTTTATTGTGTTTTTACAAATCTTTTTTTATTCCTGGTTGTCTATCAAAGAGGGAAAACGTTACTGTTACGGATCAGTAGTTCTGGTCATTATGTGTTCTTTTGTTGTTACTGCTCTGTATCTGGTGGAGATGTTTGCAGTCCTTTTTATTTAAAAAAATGAGGACAATACCTTTTGAGCCACAACTTCTGACCCTTCATTGAGCAGAAAGGCAGCCCATTGATAAATAAAGAAACATTTCATCACCTTTGCCAAAATACAAGTCTGTCCAAGTAAGCCACCTCAGATGTCTCCCACCAGAGCTGTCTCCCATTAAACCTGTTTGTTATTTAAATGGTTTTTTTAATAGAAAGGAATCCATTAAAGAATTTTGCTATTCTTTTGTCTGCATGTATAGTCATTAGCAACCTGTTATGGAATATAATGTTTCTTTTCTCTCTCTCTTTTTTTTAATTTTATTTTATTTTTTACAGAATGCTATGAACCTACCTCCTGACAAAGCCAGGTTACTGCGGCAATATGATAATGAGAAGAAATGGGAACTGATTTGTGATCAGGTAAGAAGCAGGAGATACTTTATCAAGAAGTTAGTGAAAAAAGAGAATAGGATTTTCCCCTAAATATATTCAGATTCTTTCAGGAGATGCATGAATTTCTGTTTCGTGACTCTTTGCCTTCCTGTTTCTCATGACTACTGGAAAAGATAGAAAACAACTTATTTATTCTTGCATTGTTTTAGTTCTCTCTTTGACTTTAAACCACCTTGTAGGTAGACTGGGAGCTCTGGTGGCATAGTACCTAAGGCATTTGACTGCTTACCAGAAGGCTTCAGTTGAAATCCACCAGCCATTCCTTGGAAGGAAGGTTGGGCAATCTACTCCTGTAGTGATACTGCCTCGGAAACCCAAGGATGGGTCACTATGTGTTGGATCCAACTCGATGGCAGTGAGTTTGGTTTTTGGTTTGGTAGGTGTACTTTCTGGGAAATCTGATCAAGACATCAAAGTCAGATAAACTGTTTCTCTATTTACCTTACATAGCTGCTTAAATAATGTGAACTCTTGAATTTAATTGGGAGCTCTGGTAGTGTAGTGCCTGAGGCACTTGACTGTAATCAGAAGGCTGGTGGTTCAAACCCACCAGCCACTCCTCGGAAGGAAGATGGGGCAATCAACTTCTGTAGTGATACCGCCTTGGAAACCCAAGGAGTGGTCGCTATCAGTTGAGTCTGACTTGATGGCAAATAACAATATTCATGTATATTGATGTATAATCGTGTAACAAGGTGAATAGTTTTTAAAAACATCACTGCTTAAGCTGATTAAAAACATTAATTCATATTTTAGCAATTTTCTAGCTGTTTCTAGTCTATCATTATGTCATTATAACAAATTCACATTCTACAGAGGGATGTAATACAAAAAGTGAAATCTTCTATTTTCCCTCTCTCTACTTTTGAAATTCTACACCTTAGAGGTCCACTGGTAAAAATTTGAAGTACTTCTTTCTAGCTTTTTTCCTGTTTTTGTTTCCAAAAAACAAATACATGAATACACATACTCTTGTGGCATTTCAATACATTCTCATTATCTATTACTCCTTTTATTCTACCTCAGTGATTATAATAGTATTCCACTGTAATTGGTTATTTTTTAGAACTTCGTTGCAGGGTTTAAAAACAAAAAAACACTGCCATCAAGTCGATTCTGATTCCTAGTGACCCTATAGGAGAGAGTGGAACTGCCCCATAGGGTTCTCAAAGGTGTTAATCTTTATGGAAACAGACTGCCTCATCTTTCTTCCACAGCTCAGCTGGTGGGTTCGTACCACTGACCTTTGGGTTAGTAGCCAAATGCTTAACCACTGTGTCATCAGAGCTCCTGATGGAGGGTTAGCTAATTGTTGTGAGCCTTTGAAGGGTCACATTCTAAAGCAGGGAGTAAATTTCTGTATATTAATTCTTTTATTTTTATGCCCTCCTCCCCCTACCACCCTGAATACTTCTGAGAAGTGGTGTAACGAACTCATTTGGTCTCTTTTTTTGCAAGGACAAAATGTGTCAGAGAGGGAAAGGGGTTTTTCTGTCTCCAATAGGTAGAGAGCTCTTGTTCCCTAACAAATGCCTGCTGTTAATCTAGAAAAAAAGGAGCTCTGGTGGCGTGGTGCCTAAGGCATTTGGTTGCTAACCAGAAAGTCAGTGGTTCAAACCCATCTGTTCCTCTGTGGGAGGAAGATAAAACAATCTATGCCCATAAGATTTATAGCCTTGGAAACCCTATGGGGCTCACTAGGAGTCAGAATGGATTCGATGGCAGTGGGTTCACACAGAGTTTCTGAAGAGCTCATTGTATGCTGTTTTACCTTAGTTCCTAAACCATAAAATAGTAATGAACAATGGTAAAATCACTTTATTTTTTCCCATGCTAATTGTAAGCACCAATGTTAGACAGAAAGTAAGTAATACCTACTGCTTGTATAAATGTGATGGCCAAGTAGAAAAAATTTGCTGACACTTAAAATGCCCTTCCTTGAGTTTTAATTTTTAATGAGTATTCTCTAAACCTATTATTGCAAGGAAAAAATGATTTAATAATGACAGTGAAGCGAGCTAATGGAGATAATTAATATAAAACCAAAAACCAAACCAAACTCAGCCATTGAGTCGGATTTGACTCATAACGACCCCTCCTTGGGTTTCCAAGGTGATATGACTATGGAAGTAGATTGCCCAACCTTCCTTCCAAGGAGGGGCTGGTGGGTTTGAACCACCAGCCTTCTGGTTAGCAGTCAAATGCCTTAGGCACTATAGCACCAGAGCTCCTCTAATTAATATAAAAGAAAGATAATCACACTAATGAAGGAGGTAGTTGGGAGGAGGAGGAGGTGTCTGTGAACAATTCTGAGGTATGACAGGTTATGAGAGAGTAAAGAAAACACAGCCAAAGGGTGGAACTTTAGTGCACGAGGAAGGGCTAAACCTTCCTTCCTCAGATTGACAGGATTCACTCACAACCCAGTCTGCCCTGCTCCCTTCTGGCTTTATTGTACTACTGATTTTTACATCTTAGCGTTCCAGAAAGGGAAGATTTCCAGCAACTGTAGATAGTACTCTCATCTCAGACTGAAAATAGCTTCACAGGATTGATGGTGAGGTCCAGGGGATCTTGAGGCTGGAAAAGGAGCAAATCAGTTTTATCTAAATATGTTTTTGATTTTTATATCTTGAAAGTTCAAGTTGTTATTACCCTTAAATGTTAAGATCCCGGGACGTGGACAATTTGGCCAACAATATCTACTTTAAGTGGCTTCCTCAGTTCTGAGGTATTATGAGTGATTTGTTTGCAGTAGTTAAATAATTATTCTTATTGCCAACAGCCAGTATTTTGTTAACATATTAGCTTAATCAGAGCTTTGTGTTTGGAGTCTTTAAAGCAGTCAAAATATTAGTATCTGTGTTTGACAAATGCTGAAAACTGAGTGATTAAATCATTTGCCCAGTCATTTGCCATGCTATGAAGTGGTAAAGCCAGATTTTGACATAAGCCGGTCTGATTCTGGAATCTGCACCGTTAACCACGGCTCTCTGCTACCTTCCTCACAAAGTGCTAAAATGTGTGAATGATATACTAGAAATGAACAAAGAAATAATCGAGGTTATCTCTATTTCTCTGATTCGCATTCTTGTATGTATACTTCCTTGAGAGGGAGAGAAAAAGGGGAAGTAGTTCAGGCACTAAGCTTAGCCTACCTGTACTATAGCTATGGTGAAATAGCATGGTTCATTAATTATTAGTCATTGTGAAAATTGGCCAGAAGAAAATTAGAGGGTTTTTTGGGGACACATTTGGATAACCCATGGTATTATGCTATATGTACTTTAAACAAATATTGTCACACATGTGAATATCATTTGTCCTGTGTATGTTTGTGAGTAAAAAGAAAAAAAAATCAGAATTTTCCATTTATATGACAATTACATTGCTTGGTTCTACAATCGATGCCAATGGAAGCAGCAGTCAGGACATTAGAGGACATGTAGCATTGGGAAAGTCAACCGCAAAAGAACTCTTTCAAGTGTTAAGGAGCAAGGATATCTCCTTGAGGACTAAGGTGTGTCTGACAGAAGCCATGATATTTCCAATTGCCTCGTATGCATGTGAGAGCTGGACAATGAATAAGGAAGACAGAAAAAGAGTTGATGCTTTTGAATTGTGGTGCTGGCGAAGAATGCTGAAAGTACTGTGGACTACTAAAAGAACTAACAGATCCGTCCTGGAGGAAGTGCACCCGAAATGCTCCTTGGAAGCAAGAATGGCCAGACTTCCTCTCACCTATTTTGGCCATGTTGTCAGACGGGACCATTCCTTGGAGAAGGACATCATGCTTGGTAGAGTGGAGGGTCGACGAAAGAGGGGGAGGCCTTCAACGAGATGGATTGACATGGTGGCTGCGATGATGGGCTCAAGTATAGCAGGGATCGTGGAGCTGGCGCGGGATCGGGCAGTGTTTCGCTCTGCTATGCATGGGATCGCTATGAGTCGGAAATGACTCAATGGCACCTAACAAGAACAACAACAACAACATGATGATTACCATATATTGGTGTTTATTGACTGAATGTTTGTCTTATCTATTAGAAACATGGACCATGTCATTTATCTCTTTGATATCTAACCTGAATTTATCTATAATGCCTAACCAAATGGACAATCTGCAATTCCCTTTATATAAAATGTCCAGACTAGGCAGAGTCAGGAAGTAGATTAGTGGTTGTTAAGAATTGGGGAAGGAGCTCTGGTAGCATAGTGCCTAAGACACTTGACTGCTAACCAGAAGGCTGGCGGTTCAAACCCACCAGCCACTCCTCAGCAGAAAGGTTGGGCAATCTACTTCTGTATTTATACCACCTCGGAAACCCAAGGAGGGGTCACTATGAGTCGGGTCCAACTTGACAGCACATAACAACAACAAGAATTGGGGGAGGAGGGAAATGGGGAGTGACTGTTCATGGGTGTGCAGTTTCTTATTAGCATGATAAAATATATTCCAGAATTAGATATTGATAGATGATAGTTGCATAACTTTGTAAATATACAAGAAACCATTGAATTGCACAGTTTAAAAGTGTGAAAGTCATGGTATGTGAATTATATTTCAATTAAAAATACTTTTGCAACATGTCAGAGATAGGGGAAAGGAGAGGAGGAGAGGAGAATGTAAGAAAAATAACAAAATGTTTGTGTGGCTCTTACTGTGAATCTGAGCAAACCAACTATCAAAAGACTTTTTGAGAAGATGGGGATATTTAATTATTGCTATTAAATGATTAGAATTAATTACTGATTTCGTTGGATATGATAATGGTGTTGTGATTATACAAGAATCTGTCATTATTTAACATGTGTACTGATACGGGGTAAAATAATTTTATGATTAGGAATTGCTTTAAAATATTTTATCAAAGGAAAAAAAAGTGATAGGATCTTGGTGGTGGGATATTATTGTTGTTCGTTGCCATCCAACTTGTGATATACTGGGGTTTATTATTACTGTACTC